CTCCCAGTCTCCCCTCTTCAATGCCCTGTCTCCCAGTCTCCCCTCTTCAATGCCCTGTCTCCCAGTCTCCCCTCTTCAATGCCCTGTCTCCCAGTCTCCCCTCTTCAATGCCCTGTCTCCCAGTCTCCCCTCTTCAATGCCCTGTCTCCCAGTCTCCCCTCTTCAATGCCCTGTCTCCCAGTCTCCCCTCTTCAATGCCCTGTCTCCCAGTCTCCCCTCTTCAATGCCCTGTCTCCCAGTCTCCCCTCTTCAATGCCCTGTCTCCCAGTCTCCCCTCTTCAATGCCCTGTCTCCCAGTCTCCCCTCTTCAATGCCCTGTCTCCCAGTCTCCCCTCTTCAATGCCCTGTCTCCCAGTCTCCCCTCTTCAATGCCCTGTCTCCCAGTCTCCCCTCTTCAATGCCCTGTCTCCCAGTCTCCCCTCTTCAATGCCCTGTCTCCCAGTCTCCCCTCTTCAATGCCCTGTCTCCCAGTCTCCCCTCTTCAATGCCCTGTCTCCCAGTCTCCCCTCTTCAATGCCCTGTCTCCCAGTCTCCCCTCTTCAATGCCCTGTCTCCCAGTCTCCCCTCTTCAATGCCCTGTCTCCCAGTCTCCCCTCTTCAATGCCCTGTCTCCCAGTCTCCCCTCTTCAATGCCCTGTCTCCCAGTCTCCCCTCTTCAATGCCCTGTCTCCCAGTCTCCCCTCTTCAATGCCCTGTCTCCCAGTCGCCCCTCTTCAATGCCCTGTCTCCCAGTCGCCCCTCTTCAATGCCCTGTCTCCCAGTCGCCCCTCTTCAATGCCCTGTCTCCCAGTCGCCCCTCTTCAATGCCCTGTCTCCCAGTCTCCCCTCTTCAATGCCCTGTCTCCCAGTCTCCCCTCTTCAATGCCCTGTCTCCCAGTCTCCCCTCTTCAATGCCCTGTCTCCCAGTCTCCCCTCTTCAATGCCCTGTCTCCCAGTCTCCCCTCTTCAATGCCCTGTCTCCCAGTCTCCCCTCTTCAATGCCCTGTCTCCCAGTCTCCCCTCTTCAATGCCCTGTCTCCCAGTCTCCCCTCTTCAATGCCCTGTCTCCCAGTCTCCCCTCTTCAATGCCCTGTCTCCCAGTCTCCCCTCTTCAATGCCCTGTCTCCCAGTCTCCCCTCTTCAATGCCCTGTCTCCCAGTCTCCCCTCTTCAATGCCCTGTCTCCCAGTCTCCCCTCTTCAATGCCCTGTCTCCCAGTCTCCCCTCTTCAATGCCCTGTCTCCCAGTCTCCCCTCTTCAATGCCCTGTCTCCCAGTCTCCCCTCTTCAATGCCCTGTCTCCCAGTCTCCCCTCTTCAATGCCCTGTCTCCCAGTCTCCCCTCTTCAATGCCCTGTCTCCCAGTCTCCCCTCTTCAATGCCCTGTCTCCCAGTCTCCCCTCTTCAATGCCCTGTCTCCCAGTCTCCCCTCTTCAATGCCCTGTCTCCCAGTCTCCCCTCTTCAATGCCCTGTCTCCCAGTCTCCCCTCTTCAATGCCCTGTCTCCCAGTCTCCCCTCTTCAATGCCCTGTCTCCCAGTCTCCCCTCTTCAATGCCCTGTCTCCCAGTCTCCCCTCTTCAATGCCCTGTCTCCCAGTCTCCCCTCTTCAATGCCCTGTCTCCCAGTCTCCCCTCTTCAATGCCCTGTCTCCCAGTCTCCCCTCTTCAATGCCCTGTCTCCCAGTCTCCCCTCTTCAATGCCCTGTCTCCCAGTCTCCCCTCTTCAATGCCCTGTCTCCCAGTCTCCCCTCTTCAATGCCCTGTCTCCCAGTCTCCCCTCTTCAATGCCCTGTCTCCCAGTCTCCCCTCTTCAATGCCCTGTCTCCCAGTCTCCCCTCTTCAATGCCCTGTCTCCCAGTCTCCCCTCTTCAATGCCCTGTCTCCCAGTCTCCCCTCTTCAATGCCCTGTCTCCCAGTCTCCCCTCTTCAATGCCCTGTCTCCCAGTCTCCCCTCTTCAATGCCCTGTCTCCCAGTCTCCCCTCTTCAATGCCCTGTCTCCCAGTCTCCCCTCTTCAATGCCCTGTCTCCCAGTCTCCCCTCTTCAATGCCCTGTCTCCCAGTCTCCCCTCTTCAATGCCCTGTCTCCCAGTCTCCCCTCTTCAATGCCCTGTCTCCCAGTCTCCCCTCTTCAATGCCCTGTCTCCCAGTCTCCCCTCTTCAATGCCCTGTCTCCCAGTCTCCCCTCTTCAATGCCCTGTCTCCCAGTCTCCCCTCTTCAATGCCCTGTCTCCCAGTCTCCCCTCTTCAATGCCCTGTCTCCCAGTCTCCCCTCTTCAATGCCCTGTCTCCCAGTCTCCCCTCTTCAATGCCCTGTCTCCCAGTCTCCCCTCTTCAATGCCCTGTCTCCCAGTCTCCCCTCTTCAATGCCCTGTCTCCCAGTCTCCCCTCTTCAATGCCCTGTCTCCCAGTCTCCCCTCTTCAATGCCCTGTCTCCCAGTCTCCCCTCTTCAATGCCCTGTCTCCCAGTCTCCCCTCTTCAATGCCCTGTCTCCCAGTCTCCCCTCTTCAATGCCCTGTCTCCCAGTCTCCCCTCTTCAATGCCCTGTCTCCCAGTCTCCCCTCTTCAATGCCCTGTCTCCCAGTCTCCCCTCTTCAATGCCCTGTCTCCCAGTCTCCCCTCTTCAATGCCCTGTCTCCCAGTCTCCCCTCTTCAATGCCCTGTCTCCCAGTCTCCCCTCTTCAATGCCCTGTCTCCCAGTCTCCCCTCTTCAATGCCCTGTCTCCCAGTCTCCCCTCTTCAATGCCCTGTCTCCCAGTCTCCCCTCTTCAATGCCCTGTCTCCCAGTCTCCCCTCTTCAATGCCCTGTCTCCCAGTCTCCCCTCTTCAATGCCCTGTCTCCCAGTCTCCCCTCTTCAATGCCCTGTCTCCCAGTCTCCCCTCTTCAATGCCCTGTCTCCCAGTCTCCCCTCTTCAATGCCCTGTCTCCCAGTCTCCCCTCTTCAATGCCCTGTCTCCCAGTCTCCCCTCTTCAATGCCCTGTCTCCCAGTCTCCCCTCTTCAATGCCCTGTCTCCCAGTCTCCCCTCTTCAATGCCCTGTCTCCCAGTCTCCCCTCTTCAATGCCCTGTCTCCCAGTCTCCCCTCTTCAATGCCCTGTCTCCCAGTCTCCCCTCTTCAATGCCCTGTCTCCCAGTCTCCCCTCTTCAATGCCCTGTCTCCCAGTCTCCCCTCTTCAATGCCCTGTCTCCCAGTCTCCCCTCTTCAATGCCCTGTCTCCCAGTCTCCCCTCTTCAATGCCCTGTCTCCCAGTCTCCCCTCTTCAATGCCCTGTCTCCCAGTCTCCCCTCTTCAATGCCCTGTCTCCCAGTCTCCCCTCTTCAATGCCCTGTCTCCCAGTCTCCCCTCTTCAATGCCCTGTCTCCCAGTCTCCCCTCTTCAATGCCCTGTCTCCCAGTCTCCCCTCTTCAATGCCCTGTCTCCCAGTCTCCCCTCTTCAATGCCCTGTCTCCCAGTCTCCCCTCTTCAATGCCCTGTCTCCCAGTCTCCCCTCTTCAATGCCCTGTCTCCCAGTCTCCCCTCTTCAATGCCCTGTCTCCCAGTCTCCCCTCTTCAATGCCCTGTCTCCCAGTCTCCCCTCTTCAATGCCCTGTCTCCCAGTCTCCCCTCTTCAATGCCCTGTCTCCCAGTCTCCCCTCTTCAATGCCCTGTCTCCCAGTCTCCCCTCTTCAATGCCCTGTCTCCCAGTCTCCCCTCTTCAATGCCCTGTCTCCCAGTCTCCCCTCTTCAATGCCCTGTCTCCCAGTCTCCCCTCTTCAATGCCCTGTCTCCCAGTCTCCCCTCTTCAATGCCCTGTCTCCCAGTCTCCCCTCTTCAATGCCCTGTCTCCCAGTCTCCCCTCTTCAATGCCCTGTCTCCCAGTCTCCCCTCTTCAATGCCCTGTCTCCCAGTCTCCCCTCTTC